TTTAATTCCAGCACTGGGGAGGCAGAGGCAGACGGATCTCTGTGAGTTCAAAGCCAGCCCAGTCTGCCCAGGCTTGCCTCTGCCTCCTGCCTGCTGGGATTAAAGGCGTGCACCACCACCGCCTGGATGCTTTTTTTTTTTTTTCAAGACCAGTAATGTTTGGTTTTACCCTAGGTCCCTGAGATGTTTAGTGTCAGGTTCTTGGTCACTGAAGCAGTGTTGAGTATGGGTTCCAGAGACCAGAATATAGGGGCGGAGGCTCTAGATAGGCATCAGCTTGACTTCTCCATGTTCAGTGAGTTCTGTAGGTACTGTCTTCACCAATGAGGCCTTGCCATCAGTTTTTGGAAAGTAACCTATTGTCTTGGCAACAGCCTGGGTTGTTTGGTGATTTCCATGGGTGGGATCCCTTTGTCCAACAACTCAATTAGATGTACCCCAATCCCAATACTGGAAGATTCATTTGGTGATAAGAGATGGCCAGTTGGGGCTCTGTCTCTCCTATTATTTGATTTCGTTTAGATCACCTTCATATATTTTTATTTTAGGAAGCTTTGAAGTAGTGGGTTTCCATACTACCCCTCAAATGGCCCTAATTTTAGCTGTCTCTCTCCATATTCCCTCTCTCATTCCCCCTTCCTACCCAGTCCTCACTTAACCTTCCTATTCTATTTCTGTTTCCTAATGAGATCTGTTTCTAGTCCCTTACTCTATAGCCACCCTCTGTAGTTTGGATGTCATTGATTAATAATCACATATAAAGCAAATACATGCCATATTTGTCTTTCTGGGTGTGGGATACATCACTCAGGATGATTTTTTCCTAGTTCCATCCATTTACCTGCAAACTTCATTATTTCATGTTTTTAACAGCTGAGAAATACTTCATTATGTAAATGTACCACGTATTCTTTATTCATGTGTTGAAGGACATCGAGGTGGTTTCTGGCTATTAAGAATATAGTAACAATGAAGATGGTTGAGCAGATATTTTTTGTGCTAGGATGAAGTGTCCTTTGCATATATGCCCACGAGTGGCAGAACTGATCTTGAGGTAGTTCAACTCCCTCTTCTTGTTGTCCCCATGCTCCTTGGTTTTTGCTTCCCTTCTGAGAAGCAAACTTTTATTCCATTTATTTTGTGTGTGTGTGTGTGTGTGTGTGTATACATACATTCCACAGCGCTATGTGGAGGTCAGAGGACAACTTGTAGCTAGTTCTCCTTCTACCATGTGGGTCTCATGGATCACACTCAGATCCATGTCAGCTTTGAAGACAAGCATCTTTACCTGATGAACCATCTTATCAGCCCAAGAATATTTAAAAACAACTAAACCTTTCATTATAGTTGTTTTCCACATAGACCCTTGTGATTGGTACCGCTTCTTCTGCCTCCTAGTGTACTTTCACTGTTATACTTTGTATACAAATCATCTGAGGAACTCTGAAGTTAGAGACATTTTAGACCTTTGGCTGAGTTTCTTGCACTGATGTCTATGTAGCATGTGTATGCAGTGCTCACAGAGGCCACAACAAAGCATTAGGTTTCTTGCTGAGATGTGTACAACTACACATGCTAGAGCCCTGCTTTTCAATGAGACTGGTCAGGGAAGCACTACTGAGATGTTTATATTTGTATTGCCATTTATAATAGTTGGTTTGAACTAAGATCATCTTATTTTCTTCATTCATATGACAAGTATTCAGTCATATTTAGGAAATGAATTACAGATCAAACTTTATGTGCCTTTTTCGTGCAGCATAAAGTTGTTGAGGGGAGCGGGGTTGCAGGGAGCCTTGTCCTTCTTGGCCACAGCCTTCTTGATGAACTTGAGCGAGCACTTGCCCTTGAACACCTTGAGCAGCCTCCCGATGCACTACTTGTAGGGCATGAAGCTGCATACCTCTTGAATCATATCCTGCATGAACTTCTGCTTGCTGAGGTGCCCGCAGTGCTGGCTGTGCCTCCGCTTGCAGACGCGCTGTGTTGTATTGAACCCTTTTCACCTACAGGGCTCATTTGTTACTGTTGCTTCCTAGGATTACTTGCCTGCACTTGAATATTGTCTGCTTTTGGGGAAAGCCAAAGTAAAATGACTGCATGCTGTAATTTGTTCAAAAGTTAGATGTACATGATATTTATTGTTTTATAATGGGAACTATTTATATATAACAGTTTCCAGCACTGGAAAAAAAATGAAAGAATTTCCAAGTGTAACCTCCCACTCCTATAACTCTGTGAGTTGTATTTTTAAACTCCAAATTAATATTCTTATTTCATTTTGATATTTAGCTTTAAACTTAAAATCCTACCTTCCTCTACTCCTGAGTGCTTGGATTCCAGGCATGTGCCACTACCCTCAGAAGTTCTAAATTATTTTTGTTTAATTTTTACTTGATTATTTAAAAATATCATGGATTTATGTGTATGGGTGTTTTGCCTCCACATTGTGTCTACGTAGCTTATGTGTACAGTATCTGTGGAGTCCAGCAGAGGGTGTTGGATTCATTGGAACTAGAGTTATAGATAGTTGCTAACTGCCTCTTGGGTGCTGATAATCAGACCTGGATCCTCTAGAAGAGCAATCTGTGATCTTAACTGCTGTACCATCTTTCTAGTACAGTTCTAAATTATTTTAATGGGGACTATATTGGATTGTTTCTAACAAAAAGGTTTTTCATAGAGTACTTTTGAGGTATATATGTGTAGTTTTTAATCTAATATGCCATACCTACTAGGTACTCAATAATTGGCATTTAATAAACAATATGAAGAATATGTAAGTAAAAATAGAGCCATAATTTTTACAGACATCCTAGTCACAAATCTGAAGTGTTTTCATCAGAGGTAATATACAGTCCTAAGTATCATTTGAAAAAATATTCAAGGGTTAAAAGCACTAAATTAGGTCCTTAGTCATAGGAAGCTATTTGTTTAGTTTTATCTATAATTCCCTCTATTTCTCAACTCTCTCAACGCCTGTCTTGATAATTGCCTATCTTATTTTTTTTAATTCTTAATTTTTTGGGTGCTGAATATTGCTATAGTGCCATCATCTGCTCTTCCTTTATAGAGTGATGTTGGAACCTCAGTTCTTTTTGATGATGGCCTTTCTAAACCTAGTTGAGTGTTCTGTCTTACTCAAATTCTAAACTCAAATGCTGAAAGCACTTCAAGATCATGTAGCTTTAAGAGTTGTCACCTCAAAGATAGGAACTGTGTCCTTTTCAAAATCTAAGTGCATGACACTCAGTAAATAGCTGCACCTTGTACCCACTTCCTTATGTCTCCTGTTTCAGCCAGCATGCTGTTCACTGCAGCATAGAGTATTGTATGGGTAATATTTTATGTTACCCCTAATCCAAAAATAGAGTAAACTAGAAGAAAAAGAACAGATAAATGGAGTGTTGTCTTAATTAGGGTTTTTTTCTTAATTGCTGTGAAGAGACATCATGACCATGGCAACTCACTTACAGTTTCAGAAGTTCAGTCCATTGTCATCAGGATGGGGAGCATGGTGGCTGGCAGGCAGACCTGATGCTGGAGCTGAGAGTCGTTGCCTCTTGATAGGCAGGTAACAGGAAGTCAGTTGACTGTCACACTGAGGGAAGCTCGAGTACAAGAGATCTCAAAGCTCACCCTGACAGTGACACATTTCCTTCAACAAGGCCACACTTCCTAATAGTGCCACTCCCTTTGGGGACCATTTTCTTTCAAACAACCACAGTGTGTTTATCTTCTTTTAAAAAATTACTTTAATTTACATGTACCTCCTGATTTATTTCCATTTAATCCTTGCTGTAATGAGCTTTTAATAGGAATGTTTACTACTCTTCTAGATAGCTTTGTTTTGTTTCCCATATTTTTAAAAATTTTCCTGCTTATGAAATATTAACAATCGGCATATGGACATTAGACACTCACATGAGTTACTCAGGGAAGTAAATGAGCTAAGTTACTATGAAAATATTCTAATTCTTTGGAATAAAACATTTTATTTCTACAAAATAAAACTATGTAGTTTTATTAGGTTTGTTTAAATCACAGTATGGTAGGAAAAGGGGTAGCCTAATATCCTTAAACTGTAATAAGCTATAATCCTAGTTTTTTCAATTATGGCCTATCCTTATTTCTGCCTCGTTCTAGATACACAATGTGTTATCTAAATTACCAGTCCTCTACTGCAAAGAAAACAGCAATAGCTATTTAGTTTTGTTTCTGACAGGCCACTGCTCTATAATTGAATTGTAGGTGGAGTTTTCTGTCCTGACTGCCAGTTCCCAAATAAACAACATAGAGACTTATTACTAATTATAAAAGCTTGGCCAAACTTGGGCTTGTTCCTAACTAGCACTTATAACTTAAGTTCACGCATATTTTTTATTAATCTGTGTTCTACCATGTGGCTTTTACCTCTATCCCATTTTGTGTGTCTGACTGGTTCCACATCTATTGAGCTTCTCCTTGAGACTCTGCCCTTCTTCAAAGGTTAGCCTGGACTACAAAGAGAATTGGAAACCAGCCAGTGTTAAATGAGACCATGTCTCATAGACACACACATAAAAATAAAGGAACAAACTCTCCTCAGATTTATACTTAAAATTCGTGGATTTAAAATTATTTAGAGGTTAAAAAATATACATGAAAATTTAAAATGCTTATTAGTAATATGTCGTATTTCAAATATACATGTTCGTAAAAGGCAAACAACTAAGTATGTAATTTAATTTTTAAAATTATAAACTAGGGAAACAATTTTTAAACATTTTATTACTTTAAATTTTAGTTTCAGTCTGATGGAAGCAAACAAGAAGATAAAGAAAAAACGGTAAGAGACTTAAAATATTAAATATTGGATGTATTTGTCAGAATGTAGCATGCTGAGTATTTTACTGTGAAGGTTTAACTATCATCAGAAATGATTATTTTATACTTTATGTGCTCAGTATAGTATTTGGCAGCTTAAATTTTCTTTTAAAACTAATATCCTCCTTTTGAAGATTACCATACTATATAAGGAAAAAAGGTTAAGTCTTTCATTACCTTGCTGCTTCCTTTGCATCTTTTACCACATTCACTGTCCTGGATGGAGAAAAGACAATGATAGGGTGGGGAATTATATTTATATATATTTTTAAATATATATATGAGAATTCCTTTAAGACTGCTCTTCCCATTGGGGGGGTGGGATATACTGAAATAAGCCTCTTAATGACATATTTTGTTCTTGCTTTCTTCTTAGGAAGTTATCCTTAGCTGTTTGCTTAGCATTACTGACCAGGTATTACTTCCATCTCTTTCTTTGATGGACTGCAATGCTTGCATGTCTGAGGAACTATGGGGAATGTTTAAGACATTTCCCTATCAACATAGGTAAGTACTTATTCACATTGTTAACTCCTGTTCATTAATTCTAGCACATTAACTTTTAAGCACTTAATGTTTTCTAATTTTTCATTTCATTTTTTTAAAGATACCGTCTGTATGGCCAGTGGAAGAATGAAACTTATAATGGCCACCCACTTTTAGTAAAAGTTAAAGCTCAAACAATAGACAGAGCTAAGTATATCATGAAGTAAGTTTTATTGTTTTTATATTAATCCTAATTATGCCTGGATATAATTTACTTTGTTTCAGCTATCTTGTTTAGAGTCTTAATTTTGAGAAGTCTTATACATATTTGTTAAAGGTATAGCTAATTATGTATTGCATCTAGAATGACTTAATTTTTATGTTAGCTCATTTTGATTACAAGTTAATATTTTTGTGTTTTAGATTCATGTGTCTATGTATGTGGGTGTACACATGCCATGGTATGCATGCGCAGGTTAGGGACTAACAGGTAGGAGTGAGTTCTCTACTTACTCCATGTGTGTGCCCTGAAAGTCAGACTGCTCATAAGAGTGATATTAATTCTACTTTCTTATACATTATTTTAATCTTATGAAAATTGCACGCTTTATGCTAGCATTATTCTAGATACTAAATACACTTCTGTTTGTTTTCAACAAGGATTTTGTCAGTTGTCCAGCTTTTTATAAATCCAGTTATGGTTATTCTAATTAAAAGTCATGTATTCTTTGGTTTCATTTGGTACAATAGTTTGTAATGATACTGTGTTTGCCCAGTGCTGTTGTCTCTGTACATTGTCTACTGGGAAAACAGGCATGTGCATGGTCACAGTTTGGCTTATTGGTTGTTGTTATGTAGACTATATATAATGGTGTAGGGAGATAAACAAGAGAAGAAAATATCTAATTATTTAATGGGGAAGAAGTTATTGTAGGAAGTAGTTGCTGGAGAGGCTGTTAGGTTTGGTGAACTTGAAAGAATTTTGACTTTAAGCCTACAGCATGGAGATGTGAGGGATACTCATTGCTCTGCTATATATCCTACCTTATTTCCTCATGATTACACTTACAGCTGTACTGAGCCTACTTGTTTACCCGAATGTACCATACTCTTCGTAGCCTTACTTCCTCTGTCTATTTTTTGTTTCCTTTATTTGTATAAGTTTTCCTTAGCATGCCTTTTCCTTTCTATCTGTGATTCATTCTTAGAAAGTGAGCTCAAGCGTCAGCGCTCTGAAGCCTTCCCCAGAACATACTGCCAAACAAAGTTGATTTGTATCACCAGTACACTTTAGGCAAATTATGCTAGCATTCTACTTGGGCACATTACTATGATAGTTTTCCTTTTTGTAATTATATAAAATTCTTGAAAATTATATGGCCATATGGTTTTAATTTCAGTAAATGAATGAGTATACAGATTTTATATGCAAGTATTACAACATTTATCTTTCTATGCCTAGCTTAGTTCAGTTACCACAGTGTTCCTCAGTTTTGTCCATGTTGTGATAGACAGGATTTTCTCCCTTTTTAAAGTGAGAAAGGTGGTTATCAGGCACTAGCAGAGAAGTATTGGGGGGAAAGAGATTTGAATGAAAGGAGAAATGTTGCTCAAAGGAATCAAGATTTCACTTATATGTAAGAAGTAAATATTAGTTATATATTGTATTGTGTGGTAACCAGTTAATAACAGTATTGTATATTTCAAAATTTCTGAAAGAATAGTTTTAAGACTCACGCCACAATGAAAAAGGTAACTTTTTGAGGCAATAAAATGATAATTAGCTTGACAGATTCATTTTATAATGCCGATATAGATTAAAAGCATCACATTGTGCCCATATAAAAATATATACATTTTTAAAAAGATTTGATTTATTTATTTATTATGTATACAGTCTTCTGCCTGCATGCCAACAGAGGGCACCAGATCCCATTACAGATGGTTGTGAGCCACCATGTGGTTGCTGCGAATTGAACTCCGGGCTTCTGGAAGAACAGTCAGTGCTCTTAACCGCTGAGCCATCTCTCCAGCCCAAAATATATACATTTTAAAGGTGTACAGTAAAATGTATCTCATTTTTCTACACACATTCAATTCTTTCCAAAAGGAGAATAATAAAGTAACCAGTATTTAGATTCTTATTTATCCTTCCAGATATTTTTATGTATATTCAAGGCAATATGAATATATTATTTGCACTTTTCATATTGTTGCTTGGATATAAGTACCATTCTCAAATTTGTTAGCTTTTTAAAAAGAAAATTGTCAGGAGTAGTGGTATACTCCTGTATTCCCCGTACTTGGGATTCTGAGGCAGGAGTTTGATCCCTGCCTTTATTACCTACTGAGGTGAGACTGTGCCAGAAAAACCAACAAACAAAAAAATAACATGAACATTTTAAAAGCATGACTTTAAATTTGAGTCTTTAGTTTGGCCAGGCTTGGGAGCAAGAACTGCTCTCATATTTGTATTCCTAATGTTAGTGCTGTATCATAGTAAGCATTAATATGAATGAATGCATACATGAATACAAATATTTAGTGTAGAACAATATGTGTAGAATTTTTAATATACTTGGATTTTTGTTACATTTTAGCTGTAACTGTTTCACCAGACTTTATGAGTTTGCTGCTTAAACTTTTTACATTGAGAGTGGAATATACTAATATATTATTTTTGTAATTTTATAAGTTTTCAAATTATTCATTCTTCAAATGCTCATTGGTTGTGTTTTATGTGCATTAAACTCTGGCAGCTTGAAGGTAGGACACCATCAAGAAAGTATTTCTTTAGTTTTACTTATTTTTCCCTTTAGGATAGTGAAGACAGAGGGAATAGAATAAAAAGTAGTGTATGTGAGTAGGTAGAGTGTAAAAATTGGCAAGTAGAACCACCCAAAAGCAGCATTAGAAGTAGGGAAAGGTCGGACTGTGTGAAGGCAGAAGAGAATGTGGTCTCAATTTAATACCAATAGTCTCTCTTCTCCGTTGGCAGGAAACAAGATGGGGAATAAGCTGATGATGACATAGTTTAATTATTGGATTTTTTAAATCACTCTTGTAGCAGTTTCTGCTTTTATTATGTAATCATCTCAGAAAAGCTTCAGAATTTTTTTTAGATTTTATTTATTTATTATGTATACAACATTCTGTTTCCATGTATATCTGAGGCTCAGGAGCGGGAACCAGATCTCATAAGGGATGATTGTGAGCCACCATGTGGTTGCTGGGAATTGGACTCAGGACCTCTGGAAGAGCAGGTGGTGCTCTTAACTTAACTCTGAGCCATCTCTCCAGCCCCAGAATTTGTTTGATAATTGTGTTGAGCTATAAAAGTTTCACTGATACAGATTTTTTGAATCTTGGAAAAAGTATGCTGAGTGCAAAGGAAATAAAGAAGAAAGGAATATAATTTGTTGATTTTAAAAATTGTGTACCTTGAATAAGAAAATGGGAGAAATAATCCCTGAACTGATGAATGAAGCCTGGTAAATCTAAAATAATTATGATTCTTTAAAAAAGTTTTCATGTATTTGTAAAGTTTTATTCTCAATAGATAACCATCTCTTAAACTCTGAAATTCCCTTAGAAAGTCCAACTTCTACTACAGAGTAGATGAAAATGCTGTAGTTCGTATGGATCCATTTTTGTATGTTTCGGTTTTCCTCTCATGATCTAACAGAGCTCATGATGAGTAATGCTACTTAGTATGTATGATCCTTGACATTTCTCTCCCTTGTAGGCGGCTAACCAAGGAAAATGTGAAGCCTTCAGGAAGACAAATTGGCAAGTTGAGCCACAGCAATCCAACCATTTTGTTTGATTATGTACGTTTTGAAGTCAATATTATTTTAAGGGATCTATCTTACTTTTGGTTTTCTTTAAATCAGCACAATTGGAAATGAAATGATGTAAATTTTAAGATGTTTTGGGGAGAGCTGATGAAATGCCAGTTTATGCTAAAATCAAAAGTTCACATAATATATTTAACACATTTATCTTTTTTCTAGTAATATACAACAGAACTACTGTTAGGTTTTAAAAATGTCTACATAGTGTTTCACTTTGATTTAGTTACAACAATGCTACCTTCCTTTTTTTAAAAAAATGGTTTTTCAAGACAGGATTTCTTGGGTAGCCCTGGCTGTCCTGGAACTAGTTCTGTAGACTAGGTTGGACCCAAACTCATAGATCCCCCTGCCTCTTCCTCCCACATGCTGGGATTAAAAGCATGTATCACCACATCCAGCATTACCCTCCTTTTAAATTTATCATTGACATTTTTATATAGTATATTTTGATCATATTCTTTTCCCTCCAACAAGTCTTCTCAGATCCTTGCTACCTTCCTAACCACCCAACATCATGTTTTCTCTCTCTCTTGGAAAAACAAAACAGAAACCAAGACAACGAATATGTACCTGAAACAAAAAGCAGAGGGTAGAGAATCCATTTTAGAAAGACTCTAAACAACATACATTTAAAACAGGACTAGCCCCTACCATTCTAAAATCCAAGTTTAGACTTCTTAGAATTGTTTTCTAGATAGAAAATGTAACCTTAGAAAATACTCTATAGGGGAATGATAGTATGTATGTTTTATTTATATATAAATGCAAAATAATAGAACCACTTTAATTGTATTATTTCTAATTTTGGGTAAGTATGACTATCACTTAGCACAGAAGTTTTTTTCAATATTGTTAATACAACTTACTCTTTATCTCCCAGATCTTGTCACAAATCCAGAAGTATGATAACTTAATAACACCTGTAGTAGATTCATTGAAATACCTCACCTCATTGAATTACGATGTATTGGCCTGTATCCTTTCATGTGAAGCAATATATAGATTTCAATGTGTCCCTGTATTTAGATGTTGAATGATTTAGTTATTCTTTTTGATTTCCTTTAGTAATGATCTAAGGTCAAACAGAGAAATTGTGTGTGTGCGTGTGTATGCATGGACAGGTGTGAGTGCTTTGTGTTAAAGAAAGGGAGAGACTTAGTTTTATCAAACATGTTGGTAGAGGTGGAATATTACTTGTTAGGAGATGAGAAAGAGGGTAATGAAGGAGAATTGGTATACAATGAGTATAGTTATTTTTATTTCTCCCTGGAGATATGGGGGTTTAAGGGTCTTACATATGTAATAATTTTTTCTCAATGTGTGAAAGATTGTATCATTGAAGCTTTAGCTAATCCAGAAAAGGAGAAAATGAAACATGATGACACAACCATCTCAAACTGGCTTCAGAGTAAGTATTCTTCTTTTTCTAAGGATGATAGTACTATTAGTGATACTAAGGAAGTAGCAACTGCCATGTTTTGTTTGGTTACTCTATGTTTTCAGACTTTTAGGGGCTTGTTTCTCAAGAGCTCTTGAGGATATCAAGCTTGTCCTGGAAAGTGTTTGAGACCTTTGGCTTTATAGAGATTTATTTAGTACTTATTAATTTTCTTTACTCAAGAGACTATTTTTTTTGCTATAATAGAATTTGAGGAAGCAATGTCTGGTCATCCTAGCCCGAATGTGTGGATTGTCACCTGATCCGGAAAGCTAAACAGGGTTGGGCTGTATACTCTATGTTTTCAGACTTTTAGGGGCTTATTTCTCAAGAGCTCTTGAGGATATCAAGCTTGTCCTTGAAAGTGTTTGAGACCTTGGGTCTTTATAGAGATTTATTTAGTACTTATTAATTTTCTTTACTCAAGAGACTATTTTTTTTGCTATAATAGAATTTGAGGAAGCAATGTCTGGTCATCCTAGCCCGAATGTGTGGATTGTCACCTGATCCGGAAAGCTAAACAGGGTTGGGCTGTGCTAGTATGTAGATGGGTGACGTTAGGGAAGCATTTGGAAGTTGACAATCCCTTTCTTTCTAACTTAGTGTTATTTAGAGGTTATACTCTTCCCTATTGTAACATTTTGACTCTGTTGTCCTGTATCATTTGATTTTTCCCCCTACAATATTGAGGATTGCATTTAGTCCCTCAAACATACTAAGCAAGCATTCTATCATTTACTCAGCCCATGAAATACTTAGTCAGTGCTACAAGTTAAGTCCTTTAGGAATGGGCCCTTACTAGTCTAGCTTCATCTCTCCCCCTCTTGTCAGTTTTCAGTTCCGTTAATACTGAAATTTTGTGCCTTCCGTTGTCTTTTTGTTCCTTATTTCCTCAACTTAGATGCTTTTCCATGGTCACTTATTTTATCTAGTTCATCTTCTGTTTGCTCATTAGATTTCAAAAAAGGTATCATTAAAAAAACTTTCCTTGTTAATGTTCCCATAGAGAAGTCTGAATTTACTGCTCCAGAGCCTTTTATTCATAATAGCCATTCAGTTTTCTGAATTCTCCACTGAAGGCTAATCTCTTTACGGATAGGACTTGGTCTAATTACTTAGGTGGTTAGTAAATACCCGATAGATAGCTACAGATTATTAAGCATTCTTGTCTTCACTTGGGTTTCCTCTCCCTTCAGGAAATGAGAGGGACTATTGGTTAAAATTGCTCTTCCTAGGCTAGAGAGATGGCTTAATATTTAAGAGCATTGATTGCTCTTTCAGAGGACCTGGGTTCTAGTCCCAGAATTGATGTGGTGGCTCACAACCTTCTGTAACTCCAGTTCTGGGGAGTCTGATACCCATTTCAGACCTTTGTGGCCACTGAGTACATTGATGGTACACAAACACACATGCAGGCAAGACACAGATATGCATAAGATAAAAAAAAAATTAAAAGGGTCTGTCTGCTTTTAGAAAATTTACCTGTTTTTTTTTTTTTGTTGTTGTTGTTGTCTATAACTATAGCATGTTCTTAGTTATAAACAACCTTTTTTGACTTCAAACTTTTTAGGGTGGGCATTTGGTTGTTTGAGTTGATGTGGTATTCTGCATGACGGAGTCCTAATTGATCAGGTACATAGATTGGATTATTGCTCTAGATTGTGCTGTCGCCATGAGCAAGTTATGTGATCCATCTCTTTTCAGTTTGCCTCATCAGTAGGTTTATACTAACCTAAGGTGATTATTGGAAGAATTAATATAATGTGCTTATATAATTATACTTAATAAATATTAGTTATTGGTGTTGTAAAATTCCATTCAGATACGTCAATGAAAACTTAATTCATATGGTACTGGAGAGATGGCTTAGTGGTTAAAATCACTGGCTACTTTTTCAAGAGGACAAGAGTTCCCAGCACCCACATGGCAGTCACAGTCATCCATATCCCCTGATCCAGGCATCTAACACCCTCTTCTAGCTTCCTTAGGCATCTATGAACATAGCACACATATAAACATGGAGGGAAACACGAACACACATGACATGAAAATAAATAAATCTTTAAATTTTTTCATACTTCATTTTATTTTAGAAATTGAATTTGTTGAAATTATGCTTTACATTTTGTTTTGTAACATTTTATTTTTTTATTTCTTATTTCATGTAGGTCTGGCTAGTTTCTGTGGTGCAGTGTTCCGTAAATACCCGATTGATCTTGCTGGTCTTCTTCAGTATGTAGCCAATCAATTAAAGGCAGGCAAAAGGTAAATTGTATGGATATGAAATTCAATTCAAGCACTTCTGCTGGTTTTGGAACATTGAGATTACTGTTACTTTGAAAGCCTCATAGATTTCAACTGGCATAGCTACTTAATCTATACAATATATTTTTAAAGGGAAAGTCTCATTTACAGTCCAGGATGTCCTCAAAATTGAGATCTTTCTTCCTTCAACCTCTTAAGCCTTAGAACATATAATTAATGTTTTTGACATGGGGGTCTCACCATGTTGCTGTGGCCATCCTGGAACTCACTATGAAGTCCAGGCTGGCCTTGAACACCACCTGGGAACTCACTAGGAAGTTCAGGCTGGCCTTGTGCTCACAGAGCATGACCTCTGCCTCCTGACTGCTTGGATCAAAGAGTCATGTGCCACTATGTCTGGCTGTATATTGAATCTTGAATATGAATTAAAATTAATACAGAGCAGTAGTTTGTTTAGCAGTATAGTATTTGGCTAAATAACTCATTAAAAGGACAGTTAACTCATTTTTACCATTAAACTTTGGAGTACACAGTAGGGAATATTGAATATCCTTTTGTGACAAAACATATTGCACTGTTGATTACTACATTGCACATTTGATAAAATGTTTCTTTAAGGGAGCATATTGTAAAAAAAAAACAATTTTTGAGTGGGAATTCAGGGATATGTAAGTAAGACTTAAGGGATTTTAATTATTTTCTTTTTTTGTAAATACTGTGGTGCTAGTGGCATGCTTAGGCTTTGAGTGCATAGCACCAGTAGATTGATTATAAGCAGATAACTTTATATATTGTTTACAGACATTTTCTGATACAAAGTCAGCAAAAAATAAAAGCTCGTTGGTGTTTCAAAACAGGTGTTAAATTAATTCCTGACAGTGCTATTTTGGGATATCTGTTTTTTTCTTGGTTTTGTTGGGACACTATTTCTACCCATGTCATCTCTGTCACCTCTGTATTTGTTACTATAAATCTTTCTGCCAAAAGCCACCGAGCCCCACCACCATGTGTACACTTTAAGCAATCTGCCCGCCTGAGTTAGGCCCAAATAAATACACAGAAACTTGTATTAGGTTTAAAGCTGTGTGGCCAATGACTAGGATTCTCATCTGTTAGCTCAGTCTCAATTATCATACATCTATATATTTTATAAGACTTATCTTATCGGACGCCTTATTGGCGTCCCTCCTTGCCGGTGGCTCATATCCTACCGCTGGAGGAAGAAGGGGAAAAGTGGCCCTTCCTGTTTCTCCTTCACTTAAATATGAGTCTCCTTGCTATGTCACTTCCTGCCTGGATCAGCACTTCTCTACTACATTTTTCAGAATCCTCTTTGACTCCTAGTCCTGTCTACTTGCTGTCTCATTGGCCAAACAGTATTTTATTTAACAATCAATAAGATAAACATACACAGTACTTTCCCCATCATGTATTTTACTTGTTTTTTTTCTACAAGCTATGAGAACACTAGTTTTAATGTATAATTTAGTTTGCTTTATTGTCAATACATATTTGTAACCATTTAACTAAAACAGTTTTGTGGTAATATTATGAATGATTTAATAAAGCGTGCTTGAGGGTTCAGGGTGCAAAACCAGCCACTAGCTCTTACCTCTACCTCAGACTGAAAGGGGGTAATCCTTTCTCCACCAAGCCTCAGACTGCTGCCTCTCCTCAAAGTGGCTGGAGACTAAATCTCAGAGGGATTAAAAGTGTGAGCTCTAATTCTCTTTTAGACTGATTCAATCTCATGTAGATCTCTCTAGGTGGCCTTGGACTCACAGAGAGATCCATCTACCTCTGTCTCCTGAGTCTTGGGATTAAAGGTGTGTGCCACCACTGCCTAGCTTCTATGGCTAACTAGTATGGCTGCTTTGCTGTTTTACTCTCTAGTGGCTTTAATAAGTCATAAACTATATCACCACACAGTTTTAAATATTGAATGCCTCTTTGGTTTGGAAAAGCATGGCAAATTGAAAAGACCCTGATAAGAATATTAGAAAAGTATACCTTTGTTCAATAACTTGTACATTGATAGGTGTACTTTTTACCTTTGGAAAAATTATATAATTAAAGAAAGTTATAGAATTCACAAAGTGTTATTTCCAGTGACAGTTCTAAATGTTGCAAATAAAAGCGCATACCTTTCCAGGTGTTGTTGCAGATGCCTGTACTTCCAGAACACTTAGGGGAGAAGCATGAGTTTGATGAGGCTAGTATGGGCTATATAGTGAGACTATGTCTCAAAAAATGTATACCTGTTAACACATACTAGAGCATGCTTAGTGTTGTTACAAAACCTTTCACTTTAGGCTCAAGTACCCCAACTTGACACTTTCTTTCCTTCCTTCCCTCTCTCTTTTCTAATTCTCTTTTCTAATTATGTATGAGTATTGCAGGGCTTTATTCATTTTTATTATTTGGAGTTTTTGGGGGATGGCTTTCTACTGTAAGAAAATTACTGAGTATCCTGAATTGGTGAAGAGGGAAAATGTTATTGGAGCAGCTGATGAAAATGATTTATGAACAATAGATTAAATATTAGTTATTAAAGTTGGTAACAGCTGTGGTTGTATGAACACATGGCTCTGTTCTAATGTGCATTCTTAGATATTTGAGGGAGTAAACAAGCATGGTTTAAATCGTTAAGTCTCCTATTCATTCTGTAAAGTAATCTGTGCTACTTTCTTGTTACTGTGCCAAGTTCCTGGAAGAAGCAACATGAAACTGACATTTCATTTCTACTCAGTTTCAGAGATTTCAGTCTGGAGGGAGCAACCTGTTGCTTTTTTGTGGGGCAAAATACCACACTTGAGGGGGTGTGGTCACACAGCGCTATTACCTCAGAGAAGTGAGAGCAAGAATGGAAGAGACTTGGTGTTTGTGTGTGGAGGGAGTGAGGAGGAGAGGGAGAGAAACATACACATACTGAAAGAGACACGGATGCAGACAAACGGTGTGAGAGTGAGAGGGCAAAGGGTCCAAGCACACGCTGCTGCCTCTGAGACTGTATTCCCAGTGACCTGTGTCTTCCAGCTAGACCTCACCGAAAGTTTCAAGAACCTTCCAAAATAGTGCCACCAGATTGGGATCAAGTCCTTAACGCATGAACCCTTGGGGGACATTTCATATTTATTGACAATCAAAGCAGAATGGAGAGATAAAGGAGAGAGGGAGGAAGGGAGGAGGCAAAAGGAAACTAAGTAAAAATATGAAGTTTGGGTAAAGAGTATATTAGTATGTTTCACATTACTTTTATTTTTGAATCTTAGCCCAAGCTTCAAATTAATCCAGGTTAAAAATATCAAAGATAAGCCGGGCGGTGGTGGTGCACGCCTTTAATCCCAGCACTCGGGAGGCAGAGGCAGGTGGATCTCTGTGAGTTCGAGGCCAGCCTGGTCTACAAGAGCTAGTTCCAAGACAGCCTCCAAAGCCACAGAGAATCCCTGTCTCAAAAAACAAAAACAAAAACAAAAAAATATATATCAAATATAAGCATGAAATATTTTCATTGTAGTACTAGAAGTGATACAACTGTTTTATTTCAAAAATAAAATTAAAAAACAAGACTTGGTGTTGCCTCTCATTCTTCTTTATTTAAATGTTTAAATAAAGATTCTCAGGATATTATTATGTATTTTTTCATATTTGAAGTTTTAACTATGGTTTGTTTTAATTTTTGTATTAGTTTTGATCTACTAATATTGAAAGAAGTGGTACAAAAAATGGCAGGAATCGAAGTTATGGAGGAAATGACAACAAAGCAATTAGAGGCCATGACTGGTGGGGAGCAGCTAAAGGCTGACTGAAGAATTGCTGTTCCTGTTTATTGAAATTTTAAATTCAGATGTACTATGGTCCTACTATATTTATGGCTTTGTTTTTCAAGGTTTCAATTACCCATGGTTAACCACAATTCAAAATTCAAGAGAAAAAAATCCAGAAATAAATAAATTATAATTTTTTTAGTTTGAGGTCCATTCTGTATAGAATGATGAAAATCTTTAGCCTCTCTTGCTCACTTTTGGCACATAAATTTTCCTTTGTTCAGCTTATCCATACTGTACAAGCTAGTTAGTAGTGACATAATAGCCATCTTGGCATATCATATTGCTTATGTGAATAGTAGTCTTAGTTATCAGTTGTCTGTATTGCAATATGCTTGTATTCAGTTAACCTTTGCTTAAGTTTTCTAATTCTTCATCACTATGCCTAAGCATTGTTTCATCTCATGTCACCATAACACTGATGAATGCAGTACAGTAACATACTAGAGAGTGACTGTTCACATAACTTTGATCATATCATTCTGATTATTTTGTTAATTGTTGCTAATTTGTTTCTCTGCCTAATTAAGCTTTGTCACCAGTATATATTCATAGAAAAAACATAATTTGTGTAGAATTTGCTACCATCTATTTATCCACTGTGGGTTGTAGAACATACCTGCCACAGATAAGCAGACAATACTGTGTATGTGGTCATAGTGTAGAATCCAAACTGTATGTAAGTACCTAAAGCCTAATGTCAAAGCCATATTTGTTCTCTCAAAACCACCGCTACCTTCTTTTTTAAGAGCCATGATATAGTAGTAATTGCATCTTTAAAAAAATCAAAGTATAGAAGGCAGTAACATATCTGTACAGAAAAGAAAGATCTTACATTTTCCTTGATATTTTCACTACAATAAATCTTTATCAGTCTGTTAAATCTCTTCACTGAATAAAATATAATTCTTTATAAGAGACTACAGAGTGGAGAATGGAAACAGAGCAAATTTAAACACAGTTGAGTTACCATTAGCTAGATTATAATCAACAATAGTATCATTAAGGCAAATTTGTTAAGGAGAACAAATATAGGATATAGAAATGCTTTAGTTTGTTCTGGTGTCATTTTATGTTAAGCCAGGCATTTCTTTGTATTCTTCTGGTTTTTTGAGACAGGTTCCCTTGTAGCCTGAGCTGGCCTCAAACTTGTATAGTTGAGGATAGTCTTGAACTCCTGATCCCCCTGGCTCTGCATTCCAAGTGTTTGGATTGTAACTCCTAGCTCAGAAATGTTTTAAAGTTTGTGTCTAAACTTTCTTCTGTGTCTCTTTCCACTGAGGCAGCATGGAATACTTTGCATATAGCAATACATTTATATCTTCTGTTTATGCAGGGTGGTTATTTTGGCCAGATCAGAAACACTAAAAAATCTTCTCAGAGATTAAAGGATGCACTGCTGGACCATGATCTTGCTCTTCCTCTTTGTCTGCTTATGGCTCAGCAGAGGAATGGGGTAATTTTTCAGGAGGGTGGAGAGAAACACTTGAAACTTGTGGGAAAGCTCTATGACCAGGTAAGTGAGCGAAGCTTTGGTATAGAGGATCATTTTCTTCAACCCTGATAAAATACAGATTGTGAAGTCCTTCAAAGCATATATTTGTACATGTCATATGAATATGAAACATCTCTAATGTCAAATAGGCTTTCTCTAAATAGGGCCTCTAGGTTGGTGCAAATTATGACATTTAAGAGATGGGTGTAGGAGATGTTATATGTAAGGTTTTTAGTCAATTAGGCATTCCATCTTATGAAAGGCCAGCATCAGATTGTTTGCCTTCTTTTTTGATCTTTGGAAATCTGTGATTTCAGTTGCAGGAAAGTAGATATTTTCTTTTATTGCTTAGTAATAAGATCGCTAATACTTAAACATTTCGTTGGCTAAAAATATTTTTGCGTGTAATATAATTCTATAAACAATGACAAAGGAGCTGACTTCACTGCTTCTGTCTATTGTTTTAAAGGATTTTAGTAAGTGTTTAGAGAGTCTCTTTGACAGTCTTTGGTTAGCAACTCAGAAGGGGGCTTCTCATACCTAGTGTTGGAGTATTGTCAGCTAAGATGGGAAGTTTTCATTAAAACTATTTATTTAGACATTGATTTGCAGATATGATGGGTATCTTTGTGTAGATAAGCATTAGTATGTTTCCTCATGACTTTATAAGACATCCTTACTTTTATTTGGCCCTCATCCCCCCTCCTTCTGTATTTATTGTCCTCCCCCTCCTGAATTAAAGATCCCCTTGTTCTCTCCATTTGCCCCTTCAGGTTACTTATATCCTGCTATTCCTCTCTCTATTGTTCCTCCCACCATAGTGATCCCTTTTTACTTTCATGGTTTCTGCAGTTACTCTAGGTTTTATACTCATATTTGAAGATGTAGCTCAGGCTAGCCTTGAGCCTATGATTGCCCTCTGCTTCTGAGTGCTGGGTTATAGGTATGTGTCATTGTGCCTAGAGAGTGCTTTCTCTCTCTCTCTCTTTTTTTAGGGCCGCATAGAAAATACATTTGACTAAATATCAGTATATGAATATATAAACTTCGTTTTAATTTAAAATTTTTATTTGGCCTCTAGTGATTGTACATGTTTATAGGATACATTGTCATAATTCATTACACATACAATGTGTAAATGATAAAATTGATAATTCCTGTTTTCATCTTTTTTTTTCTTTTGGTTTTTCGAGACAGGGTTTCTCTGTAGCTTTGGAGGCTGTCCTGAAACTCACTCTGTAGACCAGGCTAGCCCCAAAACTCACAGAGATCCGCCTGCCTCTGTCTCCCAAGTGCTGGGATTAAAGGCGTGTGCCACCAATGCCCAGCCTCTTTTCATCTTTTTAAACATTCATGTTGAGAAATATTGAACTTTCTTTTAAATCTTTATAAGCTATGTCACAGATTGCTATAAGCCGTAGCCAGTCTATCTGGCTGTACATCACTAGAACTTACTTCTCCCTTGTAAATAAATATCTTTTTTATATTAAAGATCCCACACCCCCCATCCTTTTCCCAGTGACACTCTTAGCCCTAGTATCTACTTTCGTGAAGTCAGCATTATTACAGGCTTTATGAATAAGTGGGACCATGTGAAAATTGTCTTTCTGTCCCTCATTTATTTCACTGAACACAGTGCCCATTGTTTCTGTCTCTGCGTTTATTGTTAAAATCTGGATTCTTAATTTCCAATCAAAATTCTCTTAAAATAACATATCTTAATCATTTGAAAAAGGTTTATACTAGTTTTATAAAAAATGTTAACATCTATTTTTTTGTCTTATTTTTAATTTAGTGTCATGATACCCTAGTACAGTTTGGTGGATTTTTAGCATCCAATCTAAGTACAGAAGATTATATAAAGCGAGTGCCTTCAATTGACGTGCTCTGTAATGAATTCCATACACCTCATGATGCAGCATTTTTCCTGTCTAGGCCAATGTATGCACACCATATTTCGGTAAGTACAAACATCTTCATTGGCTTTCAAGAGTAATTCTAAATTGTTGCACAAATATTTTATTTTCGAATACACACCAATTTGGTGAATACAGATTATTTCTCTTGGAGAATTACTCTGACTTTCTGTTACTGTTCTTGTCTTAAGCATTGAGCAATGAAATCCTTTAAAAAATAGGTCTTCCCATTTCCTTTCCCCACCAGGCCATAGTCAATTCATGGGGACCCAAAATATTCTCCATTTTCTTTTTACTTGGATTATGGCCTTTCTGCTCTTTGTTTTTAGTTTTACACTGTTTGTGGTTTTCACTCCAACTTATGGGGTGAAATGGTTTAATTCTGTACTGTATGTGGTATTGGTCCCCTTCTCTTAAACTAAGATTTCCTCTTTATTCCCTGTAGGGACACAGATGTGTAGCAGAGGTATATAAAAAGACACTAGGGAGAAATGATGAGTTTATGTGATCATGTAATTGAGCATACTGTTAGTGTTTACTTAGGAATTGTTAGTCTTACTTGAGTTAGTGACCACCTCAATGGCATTATGCAGCAATTCCTGTCCTGTATATTCAAGAGGGCTAATGGGAAGAAGGGTTGCTGTTGTTCTCCTTTAGAATCTATCATTCCAGAGAATTAAATGCTGTCTGTGTGTAGTTAATGTCTTGCATGCTTACCCTAACCACATCAGAAAAGTCTCACCCATAAAAACATAGCACCTGATTTCTTGAAGAACTTAGGTGGAAGAATTGCTTTATCTCAGGAATTTCATGTTGCATTTTACTATTCTAACATCTTAATCTATGGCAATGAATCCTAGAAAACAGGAATACCTGGTTGGCTGAGGTTGGCTGAGCTATTCCTGGTCTGAAAATGGAGCAGATCAATCATACCTGTGGGTTACATATTTTCGCCATGAAAAATGTTATTTGTCTTTTATGAGTTAAAAATCATATGAAAGACATGCCATTTCCTTCTCAGGGTTTAGGAAGAAAGAAAATACACAGGCACCCTATGTAGGCCACATTCCTCTTTGGAAAAGGAGTGCCTCTGCAGCCTTGGGTGCAATTGGATGGGCATCCACATTCCCTTAACTTTGCTTCTTAGGTGAAATCTTCTTAATAAGCCTTTGAAGAATGAGGGAAAATGTATAAGAAATTGAGAGGGCTGGAAAGACATACAGAGGATCCAAGCTTGGTTTCCAGCACCTATGTTGGGAGAGTCTCAACTGCTCATAAATCCAGTTCCAGGGGCTCTGGTATCCTCTGGCTCCACAGGCACCCATATACACGAGACACGCATGCACGCACGTGCAAACCAACACCCAGAGAGACACAGAATTAAAAATAAAATCTTTCTTTTAAAATGGTGAGAGAGGAAAAGGGGTAACTGCAGGTTTCCTTCAGTAAATTGGCTGCCACAGGCCTTCTTGTGAATTATTCAACCAAAAATGCTTAAGATTATTGGCCTGACAAAAACCTTTTTGGGCGTAAATCAGAAGTATAGTGATATTGCTTAATTCTCTGTTTGACTGAAGATGTGAACCTAAGTGTTAGTTTAATTTAGATAAGGAAAGTTGACATTGTAGATGAAGTATAATTATCTTTTTGATTAAGCTTATTTTCTAACTAAATTCTAGTGGAATGCCTACCATGAGATGGCAAGGATTCAGAAACACAGAAATAGAAAAATTGGTGCTATTATTCAGTCTTCTCATCCATATAACTTAATTTTTACTTTTAATCATTGAGACTCATCTTGAAACAGATTTGAAAGGGAGGTTTTCCTTGCTCTAGTTGTTCTAGAGATTTCCCATTTAGGTAGTCACATTGTCGTTTCAGTTTCAACACTTTTTATTTCATGTCCTTTTAGAACGTTAGCAGATGTCGTTCTGCTCATCTAAATTCATATTAGTTACCTTCAGCAAAATCTATTTTCTAAATTTAAAATCCTTTTTACCCTAGTACTGGTCTTGGTCTCTGATATTATACCTTGTATACTTTCCTACAGCTAATGTTTTTGTAGCTTTATCAGTTCTGTTGTTAATAGCATATTCTCTAGCATGGGAATACAAAGAAATAAATAATCCTACTTCTAGAAAAATTACAAGATTCCTGGAATCTCTAGCATGGGAATACAAAGAAATAAATAATCCTACTTCTAGAAAAATCACAAGATTCCTGGATTCTGCTTTGCATGCCAATGAATGTAATGGTCTTAACATGCTTTTAGTCCAGCTGAGATTATTCCTGTCAGTGCAGAACTGAAGCCGAACCTTTATAGATGATCATCTGGTTTGGGGTCATATGTTTATCATGAACTGAATGATTTCAGTATTTTTCTACTATAAAGAAACAACTGGTTGTGGGAATTTTTGATTCACCTTAAGCATGATGCCTAAACCAAGTAAAATTTTCTTGGCAAGAGGTCTTTCATCATAAAATGGCTGAAAGGCATGAGGTAGTATATTAACTTTCTTAGCTGCATTTGACATATATTCTATGAACTAAAAATTATGTCAATATCACTGCACTAATAGATTCATCTTTACCTCATGTCATTAAGAATATAGCCTTCCTCTGATTCTCTCCTTAATTAGGACACGCCAGTCAGGACAAAAACAAAACAAAACAAAACTGTAGCATCAGTTCTTACATGATTTCAATCTAATTTACCACAGGTACTTATGGAAAATTTTATTTGGCTTGGCAGTAGACTAAAGTAGCTGGTCGCTCTGTCTGGAATGTTGTCAGTTTCAGCATTGAAGTCTTGCATTCTGGGAATCCCCTAAGTCTCTGGCAAAACTGGACATTTGGTCACTGAGGTAGTAGTCTCAGTAACTTTTTATAACCTTTCTTAGTGGCATTCCAGCTTCTTGATACATGCCCTATTGGAGTCAAATTTTATTGAAAAAAAAAAACCTTCTAGTTAAAAACATGGAAACTAAGGATTGGAACGGATTGCAGAGATAATTTGTCTTAGAATAAGTGCTCTTGGTAAGAAACTAGAATTATCATTACAGTTTTGTATAAGTATATATGATATGTTTTAACTTTTTATCTCCAGTCAAAATATGATGAACTTAAAAAATCGGAAAAGGGAAGTAAACAGCAACATAAAGTCCATAAATACATTACGTCATGTGAGATGGTGATGGCTCCTGTCCACGAAGCAGTGGTCTCCTTACACGTTTCCAAAGTCTGGGATGATATCAGCCCTCAGTTCTATGCTACCTTTTGGTCACTGACAATGTATGACCTTGCAGTTCCACATACCAGCTATGAAAGAGAAGTTAATAAACTTAAAGTCCAGATGAAAGCGATTGATGACAATCAGGAAATGGTAAGTTTTATTGTAGCAACACAAGTATAATAATTGTGACTTTTATGTAGTATTGTCCCTGCTTTGTAATTATTTTAGTTCAAGATTCTTGATTCTACAGTTTTGTTGCTGTATATTATTTTAAGTGGATTTAATGGCAACGTGTCAATGGATTTGGCAGGATCTTAGCAAATGGATGGAAAGTATGATAAAAACATTCATGTCTTTTCTACTGAACACTGTCATAGCAACCTAAGGTGATTAGTTTGACGCTTATTTCAAGAGCAGTAGGAGTTCCCAAAGGATTATAAATAATCCAGCAAACACAGGGAGTAGTATGGGGTTTAAGGAGATCTCCTTTATTCTACTGAATGGCCTTGATCATGTACTTGAACAATGAGGTTAGTAACAAATTAGGCAGGGACTGAAAGTCAGGCAGAATAGTAAATATGATACAATTGAGGGCTTGTTTAGATACTTCAGCTGGGGAATAACATGTAAAAATGGTACTTTAGAAAGATTATAAGAGCAATCTGAAGAGTGATTTTGATAAGCGGAGGATCTAGTCTAAGGCTGTGTATCTTTTGGGGTAATTGGCTATGTGGTACTGAGAATGTAGGCTATGTTAGAGACAGTGTCAATACATATGACTTGTAAACAAGTGGAATATTTGAGTGAAGGAAAGTGAAAGATGACTTCATTTTTGCCTCAGAATGATACCACCACTGTTACCTAGGTGACCTGTTCAGAAGGTGTCTGAAGACTAGGTGACACTGATTGAATGTGTTGAATGGAAGGAAAAGTATTCAGGAATACCTACTTTATAGTCATGCTGAGATAATTATAAAGTGTAATCATTTTTCTCTTTAAAAAAAATCTTAATTACATGAAGGGAGGCAATGTAGATAGTTAAAAAGTATGTGACTTTACTTTGTAGCCCCCAAATAAAAAGAAAAAAGAGAAGGAGCGTTGCACAGCCCTTCAGGACAAGCTTCTAGAAGAAGAAAAGAAACAGATGGAACATGTTCAGAGAGTTCTTCAGAGACTGAAATTGGAAAAAGACAACTGGCTTTTAGCAAGTAAGTTGTTGGGATTGTACATTCCTGCTGCTGCTAAATTGCAAAAGCAAACATTTCTAACTTTGGAGGTGTTCAAGTGATTACATTGATTGATATTCAGCTCAGTTCACTGTTCCCTTCTTTAGTTATTCATTACAGCGGAATCAACTTCATGTATTCACCAAAGTGACTGATGGTTTAGTTGGCTATTGAAATAAAATTAGCTTATGATAATATTGGCAACTTAGTATTCAAATTTTCTATATAGAATCATATTTATTAGAAATTGTAGATAGAAAAGTATTGATAGAGTAAAAGTGATATGAATCTTTATCCCATAGTTTGTGGTTTTATAGCATTCTGTACACTACAGTTAAAATGTTGTGTTTGGTATCCTTGAGGCACTTGGGGAAAACGATTACTGCTTAATATGTTCCTCTTTTATTTTTAGAGTCAACCAAAAATGAGACCATCACAAAATTTCTACAGCTGTGTATATTTCCTCGATGCATTTTTTCAGCAATAGATGCTGTTTACTGTGCTCGTTTTGTTGAATTGGTACATCAACAGAAAACTCCAAATTTTTCCACACTTCTTTGCTATGACCGAGTAAGTTCTTGTTGCAACCTTTAAAAACAAATCTTAGACAAAGACAGCTAAATATTTATTATAAACTTCAAATGTGGACAACCATGATCCTTTTTTTTTGAAACAGGGTTTATCTGTGTAATAATAGTTCTGGCTACCCTGGAACTCATCTTATCGAGCAGGCTAGCCTCGAACTCACAAAGATCCACCTGCCTCTGCCTCCCCCTCCTGACTGTTGGGATTTAAGACATGTGTAACCACGCCCAGGTGGAATAGCATGATCTTGTTTTTTGGGGGGGGTTTCTTTTTTTTTGTTTTTTTGTTTTTTTGTTTTTTTTTTGGTTTTTTGAGACAGGGTTTCTCTGTATAGCTTTGGAGCCTATCCTGGCACTCGCTCTGGAGACCAGGCTGACCTCGAACTCACTGAGATCCGCCTGCCTCTGCCTCCTGGGTGCTGGGATTAAAGGCATGCGCCACCAACGCCGGACCTTTATTGTGTTGTTTTTTTGTTTTGCTTTTTTGTTTTTTTTGAATAGCATGATCTTAAGAGCGAAATTCTTGACCTTGAATCCTAGCTCTACTTACTCCTAACTATATGATCTTTTACAAGATAGTTAACCTCTCTGTGCCTCAGTCTTCTTATCTATAAAAGGGGCCCACTTTATAAGATTGATCTGAGGGTTAAATGTGTCACTATATATAAAAACCCCATGTAGCTAGGTGGTGGGGATGCATACCTTTTTTTCCCAGCACTCAGGAAGCAGAGGCAGGAGGATCTCTGTGAGTTGGAAGCCAGCCAGCCTGATCTACAGAGTTTGTTCCAGGACACCGAGGGCTACACAGCAAAACTCTGTCTTGAACACCCCCCCCCCACCAAAAAAAACAACTCCCCATGAGATGGTATCTATTGCATTCAAGGTTAACCCATTGACTCAGGATTTTTATAATCTTGTATCTTTATAAGTAGGTTTCTCTACTCTTAACTTTCACTCCTCAAAACATAACTAAAGAAAACCTTCAACTTACACATTCACACCGCATAAAAGCCGGAAAGCATTTTAGTGTTGTTGTATTCACAGATTTTTCATCTGGCTTTTTTCTCATTACTGCATTTGTGGGTTAGAAATATGTGTTATATCATGTGTGCTGCTTGTTTCTAAATGTTATCACCTTTGCTACAAATTCTTTTCCAAAGACCATCTCTCACCTTTCTCACATAGACCCATATTTTAGTCCAAGTTACTTCTGCTTTAGTAACGATGGTGATGAGATTAAAACCAGCAGTGGTGGCGTTTGGATGTGAAATATCCCCATAGGTTCATATATTTAAATACTTTGTCCTC